GATGTATACTTGCAAGCATTCTTATCCATGGTGATCAACGGCAAGTCCTGTGTGGCGCTCTTCTGCCAAGCCAAGCCGGCTTCCAATGTCTCTGCAGCAAAATTGGGCGTAAAGTCGAAGGACATTTCGCTGACCCCGCGACGACGACTCACACGGCATGCCTTATGTTCCAGAGCCTCTGGGCAAGGAGTGATGCGTGCCTCGTGTACAGTGCAAGCGTCGACATCGCCACATGGTTTAATATCTACAACTTCAGTGGAGGCAAGTGTAAACACTCCAAGCAAAATGCAGATTTCTAACAGCAAACATTTTTGTTTTTTCATGGCTTTAGTTTCTTTGCGTTTGAATAATAACGAATTACTTCCGTGTGCTATTCACTTCGATTCCCTGAGTTAAACTGCATAGCATTGAGCGTTATTAGTTGTAATTATTATAGTTTGAACGAGTAAATAAGAAATTCAATTGCAATTACAACGGATCTGATACGAGTGTTTACAAGAATCAGTGCGATCGTTTGTCCACTAATGCGCTTAAATGAACTTTGGCTGCTCCCAAATGATAAGCTTAGGATTTGCTTACCTACACTGATGTAGATTCCTTTACACAAACAGGTTTACGTATTTGTCTAAATGCTGAAAAATAATGATAAGAGCTGTGTTTTTATGTGCAAACGCAACCCTAACGCAAGCTAACGAAAGTTTTCTGTGCGTATAAGAATATGTACATACATATATATGTATATATATTTATTAAAATTGTTTATTATTATCGTCTAATCAGGTATGCACTTTTTGGCGCTATCCTGTTTTTTATTTTATTTTATTTTGAATGCATTCATTGAAAGCACACCGCAAAAGTTATAATGGAATGAACTATTGCTTCATAAAAATAATAAAAAAATGCTGATCGACACTTAGTAAAATTTTGAATTTTACCAGGAAGTAATTACTGCTGCTTTCAACAACCGACAACAGTTTTTGAATGATTTGCATTTGTCAATCGTTTTAAATAGAAATTGTAATCAATTGGTATAAATACAGCAACTTAATTCACTGATAAATACATAGTATACATAGCATATGTAGAATGGTGTTGAGCATTTAGAAATCGAAATTTGAACATGTGCCGTTCTTATCACTTATGTATGTAGCTACATATGTGTATCGGGTAGTCAACGAAATATCTGTGGCAAGCTCTTCACAAATCTTAAATTTGCCAAGCCTACGAGCTTAGATTCCTTACATGAAAATTGTATCTACATGCAAAGTGAGAATGGGAATAAGGAGGGCTCTTCTTTACACTTCCGATAAATGATAAACTCCGGTCCAGTTGAGTGGGTGGAA